TCATAGAGGGATATTAAAGTCAGTGATAACTGAAGTCAGTTAGACTTGACTGCAGGCAAAAGTTTCCTTTGATTCATCCATTCGTCGAACGTTCCTGTTGAGGTGTTCAGTATATTCACAAGAAGAAACTAAAGTGAAGAATAAGAAAGAAAAAAAAGAAGAACTCTGATTTAAAGAAGTTTTGTTATGATCTTTTAGTATTACAATTATAAAACCATAACTTTGAAACTACAACAACAATAATAATAATAACAATAATAATAATAATAATAATAACAATGATAATAATAATAATACTGAGATAATGGTTCAGTTCTATATAACAATTATTCAGCAAAGTGGAGGTGGCTAGTAGTGGTGGATATTAGTATACACTGAAACGGTGAGATAATTGAGCGCAATGACCGAACGGCCGTCGCGTTTTCTGGCAGAAAAATAAAGTTTTAAAAGGCATTGCATTTGTTAAGCTCTTGCGCGCTGGGAAATTTCTTGAAAAGGAGTCGTGATTCTTTTTGTGTTTGAAACCATTCTGTTAAAACCTATTAAATGTAGTTTCAAGCTTCGTTTTATGAACATGAAAAATAGTAAATAAAGAAACGCAAGACTTAATTTGCATAACAAAAAACTTTTTCACTCGTTTCATGGATGAATTCAAGTCAAAGCTTCACCAGTTTAAACTTCCAAACCGAATTTCCTCACCTTCTTCGTGTATTCCGGTAAGAGCTTGATTGATTATTTGTGAAGTTTCTCTGTTTGTTTCGCCATTAAAGTACCGGAAAGCTATTATGCTCGTAACTTACGCGACTTTGGCGTTGCGGAAACTGGAGGTGAATCAGTGAATAGCACTGGATATCGGGAGGTTGAGTAGCCAATCAGAGGGCGCGAAAAACGCTATCCACTGTTTTAGTATATACTAATTAAAACTACTACGCCATCATATCTCATATACAAGTACGTTTTTCCTGAAGGTATCCGACGGCTTGGATGCAACGTGCTGTAACTTGAAAAACAAAATTCTTTGCAAAAACTCTTGAACTGTTAAAAAATGACCAAAAACTGGTCATGCTCTGTTTTCCGTCAGAGAATCATTTGCTTTCTCTTTTTTTTAGATTTCCGACTATAAAAAAGGAGACTGAGGAAATTTAGCTCAGCTTTGAACAACATTGCAAACTTACCATGACATAGCCCTTAAAGCAGAGGAGGTCTTTCACCGGTGTCCGCTTAATCCAAGTATAAAAGAAAGAAAAAGGAAAGAAAAGTTGTCACACACTCGAGCTCCTTTCCTGTTATATGGGAGTATTAAAGATGTTCACTAGAGTAATAGTCGTGGTGAATCAACACAGTGAAAGCAGAGGCAGCGTGGCCGAGTGGTCAGCGCGTCGGACTCGCAATCCGGCGGTCCCGGGTTCGAGTCTCGCTCTGGCCACTTGCTGGATTTGTGCTCGGTCGTCCCGAGTTCAAATTCTCGGCCCCGCTTGTAAATAGCCAACTGGTTGCCTTCTGCCAGTTGGGGTTTTTAATCCTGTTATGATGTATTTGAATTATTTGTTTCTAAATATTTGAGTGGAGTGCCTGTAAATTAGCTGGACAAGCTAAGTGCAATTTCCACTATAAACAAGCCTTTGACCTTTTTTTAACCTTTTTTTTTTTTAAAAGCAACTACAAAAAATGAACTAGGATTTGCGTCTCAGTTATTATCAATCCATTTTATCCAGGCCAAGGCAATGAAAGATTGATCGAATCACCCATGGATGACTTCTCTGAATTCTGAAAACTACACGTAAAAGCTGAAACTTAATTTGTGTTGAAGCTGGAGAAAAAGAGGCCTGCAATCAGGCCTGTACTGAATTAAACAATAAGTAGTCGAGGTCTCGTTTGTAGTGTACCCCCTCTAGCCAGTAAACATTAGCCTGACAGTGTAACTAGCTGCATAAAATCATTTATTCTCTGCCGAAATAAGTTAATGATCGCTGACCTTCAATGTAGCCATCATTGGTAATGAGGGCAGGGACTGGACAACCAGACAAAGCTTAGCCAACAAAAAATAGAACAATGCAGGAGCCTGACAATGGTATTTGGTGTTGCAATCATCATTGGGCTGCCTGTGGCAAAGCCCAAAGAAAATGTATTTATCATGGGTTATGTAACCTTTTCTTTGGGGTGTTACATGGTATGCTGTTCTGTTGCTTCATTAGCGGTAGGCTATATATATATATGAGTTGTTCTCATTTATATTCATTCGCGTCTTACGACCGTCCCTACGCCCTCAAAATTATGTCTGATGTTGAAGACGTTACTCCAGCGAACACAGATTTTCTTAGCAGCGACGTTTTGCTGCCTTCGCTTCCTAAACAACCTTTGTCTCAATCTCTCGAAGCTTCAGTACCAATCCAGTCTTCAGAATCCAGTGATATAGCGTCCGCGTTCTCTCTTTTTAAGGATTATTTCGACAAGAAGTTGGGCGCCTTGAAGCGCGATATTCAAGACGAGTCGTGCAGTAATACCGATTCTGTGGCCAAAAAGCTTAAAGAAGAATCCAAGATCACGTTTAGATTCGAAGGTAATAAGAAACAGTTTCAATTCAACTCCGACCTTGCAGAGAAGGTGAAGTCGGCGTCAGTTGCTCTCGGGAAGAGAAAATTAGACCTTGTTAAAACTCACCTGGAAGAACTAGACTCTGACATCAAGAAGCGCAACAAACTTATCAGACTGGCAGACAAGTCCGCCGCCGGTTGGGATTTGGTGAACGAGTATTTATCAGACGAGCTGGCTAGCGGGTCAGAGGACGAAAAGCGTATCCGCCGTGCCGAGCAGAGGGCCCTTCGTAAACGCAACCAACGCCAACAGAAAGCGAAGCCATCCAAGCAAGGTTATTCACAACTCCAATCATCTACCGCAACCACCGCGTTTGCTGGCCAACATTCATCATCCTCCAGACCTATTTCTCGTACTTTTGGCGCTTTCAGCAAACTAAGACCAAGTGATATTTGTTTCGCCTGCGGCCAGCAAGGTCATTGGAGTTCACAGTGTCAAGTTAATCCTCAAGCCAGATCTTCAAGCTCGGGGCAGTCCTTTCCTAGTTCTTCTGGTCTTTCGGGCATTGGAGGTAAATAGGACCACAGAATTAAAAACTTGTTCTCCAAGGTTAGATATTAGCTTTAGTCAATTTATTTGGAGTATTTCAGGGAAAGGGACTCTAGTTCATTAGTCGATTTCGATTATGATCGCAATCTATTTGAATTTGAACAGAATTCCGCATTGCCAGTACTTAAGGGTAGACTTAGGTTCTGTTTAAGTTATTGGCACACTATTGGTGCCAATAGTTTTGTTATCGATACTATTAAATTCGGTTATCGGATCCCATTCATTAGCACACCTTGTCAGGCGCGTTTTTCTAACAATCAGTCAGCTCTTAATAATGCGTCTTTCGTGGAGTCGGCTATCGCTGAATTAGTCCACACTCACGCCGTCGTTGAGGTGCCCTTTATTCCACATGTCGTTAATCCGCTCTCTGTCTCGATACAGTCTTCAGGCAAGAAGAGGCTTATTCTGGACTTACGTCATGTCAATCATTTCGTTTGGAAACAGAAGTTTAGGTGTGAAGATTGGAGAGTTTTATTATCATATGTTAATAAGGGCGACTACCTTTTCAGTTTCGATCTCAAGTCTGGATATCACCATATCGATATTTTTCCGGATCACCAAACTTTTCTGGGTTTCTCCTGGGTTTTTTCTGGTACCGTTCGGTATTTTTGTTTTGCATCACTTCCGTTCGGTCTAAGCTCAGCCCCATACGTCTTTACCAAGTGTCTCAGACCACTCGTTAAGTTTTGGAGGTCTAACGGGATTAAAATTGTTGTGTTCCTCGACGATGGGTGCGGAAAAGGGGATTCACTGCCTATGGCCAAGGAAAATTCATTGTTTGTGCAATCATCCTTAAGCAGTGCGGGGTTTGTTGCCAACTCCGCCAAATCACTATGGAACCCCACTCAGGTGCTTGTTTGGTTGGGTTTAAACTGGGACTTAGTTATCGGTACCATTTCTATTACCGATAGACGTATTTGCAAATTTATCGCTCTGATTGACAAATTTCTTCTATCCGCACCTTATGTTACGGCTCGGGATTGTGCCGTTATCGCAGGTCATGTTATGTCCATGTCGCCAGTTTTGGGTAACCTGACTCGTCTCAAAACCCGTTTCCTTTACAAGGTCATAGAATCCCGCCGTAGTTGGGATTCCCGTTTTAATATCGGGCTTCATAATGATTGCCTCTCTGAAATATTTTTCTGGAAAAACAATACCGTTAGTCTTAATACGAGACCTATTTTGCCTTATAATGCTCCCCTTTTGTTTAGCTATTCGGACGCTAGCAACGTCGCCTGCGGGGCTTTTGTTGTGGGCACTAATGAGTGTCCCATCGTATGTGGACTGCTTGCGAAGCAGCTAAGAGCTCTACCTGGAGAGAACTTAAGGCTATACAATTTGCCTTAAGTGCGTTCAAAGCCTCGGTTCGGGGTAAGTGTGTAAAGTGGCATTCTGACAGCCAAGGGGCCGTTCGTGTTGTGTTGCATTCTATGGCGCTTGATATTTTCTATTTTTGTCGAACTTACAATATTGCACTTATTCCCCAGTGGGCTCCCAGGGAACTTAATGCTTGTGCTGATGCGATTAGCCACATTGTAGACTTCGATGATTGGTATACAACCCCCGAGTTCTTCGCACACTTGGACCGCCTTTGGGGCCCACATACAGTCGACAGGTTCGCGAATGCTGCCAACGCCCATCTTCCCAGATTCAATTCTAGGTTTCGCGTACCCGGCACTGAAGCTGTTGACGCATTTTCAATCTCGTGGAATGGAGAGAATAATTGGCTAGTCCCTCCCGTCCACTGCATTACTAGGGTGGTTCAGCATCTCCTTGTATGCGGTGCGGTTGGTACTTTAGTCGTCCCTTATTGGCCGACTAATGTGTTTTGGCCTTTCTTGTTCGCAAATGCAAATCAATTTCAACCGTACGTCCTTGAGTACATTCATTTTCCCGACCCCTCAGGGATTTTTGCCGGCCTCGGGTGTTACAAAGATTCACTCATTGGTTCAGACAGGTTTAACAGCGCGGTGCTGGCAGTCAGAATTGGCGCTAAGTGGCTTTATGTTGGCCCACGTGTTTTTTAGTCCGCTCGTCGGTTCATTTGTCCTCGTTTCGCATGAAACTAGCTCGCCGAGTGGCTTGTTTACCGTGGTTTTTGAGTTGGCCCATTCGGCCTTAAATAGTTTTGCATCCGGTCAGAGGCATTACCAAGCGTCCATTTTTTATTGCTGTATTGACTCCCAGTGCGTGTATTGAGGAATTTTGCCGAATATTTTTGTTCTTATCCTCGTAGAAGTTCTCAAAGATGCCTTGCAGCCTGATTTTCAACAGGTTGAAGACGGGCGACTCCGGGCACTGGTTCAAGATCTCCCCGCAGTTCTTCTTAAATCCAAAGCCGACAGTACCGCGAGGAAGTACGAAAAGGGCTTCAATACGTGGAGAAAATGGGCGTCTCAGTTTAAAGAAATTGTTATATTTCCCGCTTCTAGTGTGCACGTTTCATTGTTCTTTCTTAGCTTGATTCAAGAATCTGCTTCTTGCAGTACTATTGACGAAGTCCATTATGGGCTCAAGTGGGTGCATGATTTGGCAGGTCTACCCGACCCCTGTAATTCCTCGTTAGTTTTACCTTTAATAGAATCTGCTAAGAGGCTTCTCAGTATCCCTGTTAAAAAGAAAGAGCCTGTGACCCCCGAGGCTATTCAGCTTTTATTTTCTAAGTATGGATCGTCCTCAGCTAGTTTGTCTGATTTACGAGTGCTTACTTTGTGCGTTTTAGGTTATGCAGGGTTTTTTCGCTTTAACGAGTTGGTTCAGTTACGCAGGTGTCATTTTCACTTTGAAGATTCTTTTATGAGAATCTTTGTTCATCGAAGTAAGACTGACGTTTACAGGGATGGGGCTTGGGTTGTTATCGCTAAAACTTTCAAGCATACATGTCCTTATTTATTAGTTCAACGATATTTTGTGGCCGCTTCTTTTTCAGCAGACAGCGAAGAGTTCATTTTTCGCCCTCTTGTTTTTCTTCGCAGTACCGGAGCTTATAAATTGCGCGGGTCTGTTCCTTTGTCTTATACTAGAGCGCGGGAGATAGTGCTTAGCGCTTTCGATTCCATCGGCCTTCCCAAGCAAGACTACGGTCTCCATAGCCTTAGGGCCGGAGGTGCCTCCGCTGCTGCTAATGCTCGAGTGCCTGACAGATTGTTTAAAAGACACGGCCGTTGGAAATCAGACAAGGCAAAAGACGGTTACATTAAGGATAGTGTTCATTCATTGTTGTCGGTTTCGTTATCACTGGGTATTTAATTTTCCGTATTTCCCGTTCTTTTAGTTCGCACACGGCTCGTGTTGACACACCCCAATTGAGGTTGCTTGTTACATGATGAATGTTTTATATTCGTTTGAGCGGGGTAGCGAATTAGAATATAAATGTATTTATCATGGGTTATGTAACCTTTTCTTTGGGGTGTTACATGGTATGCTGTTCTGATGCTTCATTAGCGGTAGGCTATATATATTTGAGTTGTTCTCATTTATATTCATTCGCATCTTACGACCGCCCCTGCGCCCTCAAAATTAAATACCCAGTGATCAGGGGTTTCTCTTAGACGTAGTTTTTTGCATGCTGCTATATGAAAGGTTTAGCACGTTTTGCATGTTTACTGAATGATTGTTATACGAGCATACTTTAGATCATTTTGTTGGGTTGTTTTTCTTGCTGTAATTTTTTACATTTCCGAGTTTTCATTCTGTTTGTTGTATTATTTCCATCCATTCTGTTGATGAAGGCATAATAAAGAGGGTCGCACACGGCTCGTGTTGACACACCCCAATTGAGGTTGCTTGTTACGTGATAAATGTTTTATATTCGTTTGAGCGGGGTAGCGAATTAGAATATAAATTGTGCTTCTTCATCGAGGTCACTTGAAGACAAAATGGCGGACTGATCTCCCAGAAGGCGATGCGTGTCTCGTTGGGGCCAATCTTTTGACTATTGATGGCGGAAGATGGGTGAGGGTGGGTCATTTCAGATTTAAATACGGAGAATGGAAATTGTCGACTCTACCAATACGAATAAAAAAATAAATAAGCAAATAACCCTTTTGAAACGAGAAAAAAAGACAGGTATTATTTTTAACTGGGACATTTCCACATTGTATACCCCAATCCAAATCCTTCATCAACCAAAATTATTACGTGACAGTATAAGGTGACTAAATTGATCTAGCTGGAACTTCCGAAAATTATTACCCTCGTCCTATTTTTATAAAAAAAAATATGACATTTTGTTTTGTTTAGTGGTGATTTTGCAAAATAAGTTCTTAATTAGCTGTGTTTTGTCTAATATTGCTTTAAAGCTATTCTGTCTATCCAGATTAATTTGTTCGGCAGGGCAGCGGCCCAATGTACCCACATTTAGGGGGTCTTGTTTTCCACAGTTCTTACTTAATCATTTCGCAACTTGAGGAATTGTTGTACTTGAATATTACGCTTTAAGTTTTCTGTAAACGTCAAATAATTTTTGAATGTTTAACAGTAGACCGCCTTAAATCTTACACATTAAAACAAACCTGGGCGAAAGGAATAGCTTTCACGTCGTCAGTTGCAAATGCATGGATACAACTTGCTAAACAAGCAAATCACTTCAATTGCTCTTTGAAGTCTAAGTTCTTGAGCCTCTCGTTCTAAATCTCCAACCTGCATGCATAGTAGGAAATAAGCATAGTTAAGTGGAAGTAATTCATTTCTCTTCGGTGTCTTTTCATACTTCATAGCAACGAAGTAGGCACTCAAAATGTCTTTAGAATAAGAAACGTTGAAAAATACCCACAATCGGCCACAAAATTGTTAAAGACAATGTCATTAAACTTTGGAGAACAAATCAATCCACACCCCTCCCTCTCCCATCCATTCAAAGTCAGGGTGTTTGTCTGTTTGTTGTTTTCTACTGATGGCTCGAACAGCAGCATAACATTGCATGGAGGGGTGGGAAAGAGAAAGCGATAATTTCCCATTTTTTAAATTAGCAAAAGTTTGAAAGACCCTTTATTGCAAAGTGTCTAAACAAGAGCATGGCTCTTGGTCTCAACGAATTTTGTCGCCGATTGTATTTGTTTCTTCTAGCCTACTTTTGGCTATGGGAGGGAGCCTCATCGAGTTCACTTTTGGTAAATGGTGTTTGGCAGCTGATTGTCAAAGCAAATCTAATCATCTAACGTTACGTCTAGAAGTTAAAAATGATCTGCTGTATATATTCTCACCAGCGCGCTGTTTGCACATCTTCTTTGTCACAATCTTCACTGACATCCGTGCCAGCTTGCTGAATTCGCTTTAAATCCACTTTGTACAACGAAGACGGCTCTAAAACCAGTACTTTCCTCACAAATGATTCTCTCTCCTTCCTAGGAAAAAAAAAACATGAAATTTTGAAATACCTGATCGACAATTATTGTATAGATCGTTTTTACTGACACGATCATCTACAATGCGAATTTGTTGAAAGTTGAAAAAAGTTTACATGAGGAAGAGTTCAATCCCGAGAGGATTTTTTTCCTGTACTCTAATATGGCCGCCGTGACGTCGTGTCGCAACGGTCTTTGGCGTTGCGTCCTTTTATTAGTAGTGCCCATGAGCAACGGGGATTGTTGGTTTTGCAATGACGATGGATTAAAACTCTCTGTTGGGTTCTTTTGCTGAATATTCTGGTTCAGTATGCCCCATATAGTAATTACCATAGAGAGGGATTGTTTGGAACTTAAGAATCGTTTATCGATTCTTAGTTCTTAGCTTTACGGTTATGTTAATTATAACTGCACATTTTTAGTTTTTAAGTTTTAAAATAAACTAGGGCCGTTAACTAGTAAACTAGCTGATTAACTAAGCGTAAACTCTAGGATAAATAAAGTATGGTTGCCTCGTATCGATTCGTATCAGCCAGATTGGTCACTCTATCTCTCACAATTGGAAAATATTGGACGCTAATTAACTTTCCAGTTTAAAATCATAAAGGGAGTTGACTTATACGTTAAACCGCTTATAAGACCTCTCCCCCAACCCATCCTCCGGCCTCCGCCCTGTTTTAGGCTAGTATCTACTGGAAGCGAAAAAATCATGCGATTATAAGCCCACCACCGGATATAAACTCGCCGGTAGCTAATAGCTTAAATTGAATTTAATTTATTATGACTTGTTGAACCTTGATTAAAAAGACGTAAATGCAAAACCTAATATAATAAGCACTGCCATAGCTTGTTTCGAAGCGCTTTTTCTATCCCGGTTGTATAAGCGCCTATTGGATATAAAGCCCTTAGCCTGCGAATGTCTGACAAACACTGAAAACACGTGCCAAGAGTAATGACGTCGTTACTAATGTCATCTCCGCCAATCAGCATTTTGCATCGACTTTTTTGATGCAGATATTCAAATTCCAGAGATGTAGTTGCAAACTCTCCTTCCCTTTCCCGCCCCGCCGCCAGAGCGCCCTAGAGTGCTTGCTCACAAGCTACTATAATATTATTATTCTAAGAAATATTAAATACTCTCGTGACATACCCTTTTAACTCATTAGTCCAATAATTCATTTAGCAGTTTCTTGTCTCGCACATAGCAAATAAATCTATTAAAATTATCAGCTTTCGCTTATTTTTTCCTACCTGTTAACTTTGTTGAGTTTGCTTCTGACTCGCTCAGCAGACTTGGTCTGGATCTTTTCAAACCCTTCACTCATCATGCCCGACAATGAGTTCTCTATTTTTGAAGGAGATTTCTTAACCCTGCGGGGGTAATGAACGTAATCGGAGGCAGTCACATTTATTGTTAGCAAATTTAACCATAACCCCATCATGACCTATAAGTAAATCATTTTTCGCCCAATGTAAGGAAATCCAGATTCCAGAAACCGTAGGATTCGAATTCCCTTACATGGGGCGACAATCAGCAACCTTGACATAATATATCGATTTAGATTTAGCGAAGCTCTCGATAATAATTATAGTTTGCTCAGAAACAAAATCCGCGGCTAAAGGCGATGTTACACGGAACGATTCGCAATGACGATTTTTAGTGCAACACAGGGTTAAAATGTTGGAACAATATTGCAGCCATTCAAAACAATAACACAACAATGTTGTAACGCTGTGTTGCGCTAAAGATCGTTGTTGCGAATCGTCCGTGTAACATTAGTGATTACCTTATGCGGCAAAGGCAACGAGAACGGTAAAAAAACAACAATAGGTCTAATAACCAAAAAAAGAAACGTTGCACGTGCAGCGCACTTTTTTTTGTAAATTTCTCTGCCGTTTCTTTGCACGCTGGGAAAAAAAGTGCTAAAAATCGGCCACAAAATGTGTCCAAAGTTTGTTTAAAGATATGCGTGGAATGTTACAAATATCTCTTAAACGATAGAAGATAATAAGTTGAGACTTTCACTTTGTATTGGTCTCAAGTTTTTCTTTCAAATTCTTCAGTTTTTGGGTTAGTACTGCTCATGACCGAAAAGCCCATTTTGTGACGTCATCAGTTGTGACGTTACAAAAAATGAAATGTGAGATTTCAAATCGGACAAGTTCTTCAATTTTATGTGCACTATATTTCTGCAAAGTATCACACTCTCAGGTTTAATTCTCTTAGAGGAGAAGTCTTTGGGAGTTTTGATTTGTTTAATTGGTCACTAGAGGGTCACGTGACTCTTTACCAACAAAACGCCTATTCCAAAATTTTCCTGGAGTCAAGTATTGTTGCCTGTATTAATTTCAGTGTCATGCCTTTAAAGGAAAGAAAGTTATAGCCCCAAGAACTCCAAAAATGTTTGTGCCGATCACGCCCCCCTCTCAATCTTTTGGCCGATTTTTACCTCTAAAAGTTGAAACTTCCAGAAACTTCGAATTCCTAGATACACGTTTTATGGAGGAAATGTCGTACGTGTTGTTGTCCACGTTTTTTTTTTTTTTTTTTTGCACTGCCGCTCATTCTCACCTTGGAGGCCGCTAGCATTTCTCATTTTCTCACGGCCGATAAAAAACTTTAATGTTGTTCTTTCAACAAAAAATGTCTCTTTTGTTCTTGATCTCTCGCTCTAGCTCTCTGTCGTTCTTTTTCTCGTTAAGCTTTGTTGGCCTGTCGCCTACTTTTTCTTTTCCTCCGTCTTTCTCTTTCTCTATATTCCAAATTTGTGAACATGACAATTAATCTAAGCTTAATAGTTTAGACAACACGAACACAGAAAGAATTTCCGCTTTCCGTTTTCGTCTTGACTGACTCTTTAGTTGCCTCGGCTTCACAAGACGCCGGTGGCTATGCGATTTCCC